ATTAGTTTTATCTTCCTCTTGAAGATGATCACTTGGTGATCGAAACACGTGTCGAGGTGTAAAAATAACGATTTGTTGTTGGGAAAAAACTCCAGTAATATTCATTACTACACCAAAGGTTTCAAACAGTACATCATAAGTATGATTTTTCTGTTGAAATTAACATTTTTTTGAATTGCAACGTAGTTGTTATGAGAATTCTATACTGTAATATCTCTTTTTGCAATAAAATAATTTTCGATTTACCAAAACGAGCAATAAATCGTTATATTCCGTTTTTACCAAAACAATGGGTTCTTTTAATGGAAAAAAATATAGATTTACTCGAAAAAGTCTTTTGCACATAAAACGACTAAATACATATAAATTGCTGGTTCAAACAGATAATAAAACATCATAAAACGGAAATTAAAAAAAATATTGAAAATCATAAAAAGTTACAGTTCATCAACGTTTGCCATTTCTTCGCAAGATTTGCAGTACATTTCTGCATGGTCCAGACATATGAATTAATTGCATTTGTTACAAATGTATTTTGTAGTTCGACCACGGGCACGATGGCAATCTTGAGACCCATTTTGTTTGAGTCTTTTGGATGGAGGTTCCACAGTTTAGCCTTTGATCTTCGAAATCTGGATAGTTACTAACGATGCTAACATTATCGCTCGTTTCATCACCATCAGATTCGTCAATTTCATCATCACTTCCTATTTCATCCCATAAGGACTGAAGACAGACCATTTCTCGCTCATAATCACCAATTTTAATCGAATAATTTGAAAAACTACTCGATTTGGTTTTTTTTGAATGCGCACAATTTTGAAACATACGGAGACATGTGGGGATTCGAGCACCCCAGTCGCTTTATAACAGATCTGATTCAAACATACGTCAAACGACAGCTGATTTGAGATGTGAATTATGAGAGTGGAAGCTAGCGGAAGCTACTAAATATATCCGACGTTGGGGCGCCAATTTCGAAAATTTATATGGAATTTTCTACGGCTGGGGTATGTCACACCCCACGTGTAGGACGCAGGGTCAAAAAGTGAAAATAAATTAAGCGTTAGTTGCTAAGTGTTGTAAATAAATTAGTTTGTCATCAGTGAAATATTATTGTAAATGAATTTGTTTAGGACAATTAATTCTTCAATTTGCCACAATATCTTCAAACTGGAAGAGAAGCAATATTCTTACTCATTCGTATTACATTTAAAAAAATCATTTTCACGAAATCTGTATTGATGAAAGAAAGAAAAAGAATTCAACAACATTGATCTACTTGAGAAAGTGTGAGATTCTGATGAACGCAAATCATCAGGTTTGAATTCTACGAGGGGTATTGGAAAGTATAAATCTGACATTTTCAATAACTTTTTCCAGGAATCTGTATCGGTGACAAGATAACAGCTCGCATTACGTTGATCTACCCAAGATTCAATAAGAGTTGTGTGATTTTCATGAGCGCACATCATCTGGTTCCAATTCAACAAGGAACCTCAAAAAATGAGTCTGATTATTTCAACAATTTTTTTTAAAATCTCTTTGAGTGACAAGAAAACTGTTATCACTACGTCAATCTATTCAAGATTCCACCTGTATGGATGATAAGAAAACGGTTTTCACTAGGTTGATCTACCCAAGATTCTATAAGAGTTGTGTGATTTTCATGAACGCAATTCTACAAGGGGTTTTAAAAAGTTAGTCTGATTGTTGCAACAATTTTTTATGGAAATCTGTATGGGTGACAAGAAAACGGTTTTCACTATGTTGATCTACCCAAGATTCTATAAGAGTTGTGTGATTTTCATGAACGCACATCTCCTAGGGAATTTAAATAGTGG